ATAGTCCACCAGGCTCCTCTATTCATGGGATTTCCCAGGCAAGAATACTGGAGTGGGTTTCCATTTGCTTCTCCAGGGGATCTTCCCAACCCAGGGATTGAACTCATGTCTCCTGCACTGGCAGGTGGATTTTTTTTTAACCACTGCACCACCTGGGAAGCCCCCTACTCTCTGCTATATGACCCTAAATAAGACACCAAGGATGCTTTGAGACCCTAAGGCCCAAAATGACCAGTATCTATGCCTACAAAGACTAAAACCATTTGTACACGAGACACCTACCATAATACCACACAAGAATGTTCCAATGTCAGGTCAGGCAGTTAGTCGTCACCCTCACCCCATTCTGTCCTGAAGAATGGCTCTGCCTCCTGGAGCCGGGTATAGGTGTCTTGGACCAGGACTGCCATGGGGGAACTGTGATGGTCTTGGTGGCCCAGCAGCTGATTCCCAGGCCACTTCGCTGACCAGGCACCTCTTCTCTACTGTATCAGAGGCAATCATGGCAGCAAGTCAGGTGGCACCTGACACTGTGGCTCTGGGCTGGAGCTGGCGCACTTGGCTCACGTGTGCTGTAGGGGGCACTGCAGACACCCCGGAAGGTGCTGGGGCTGATGGGAGGGTCAGGGTGGAGCTAAACCTAGCTTAACCTAGGCCAATTTAACACAAAAGGCCCTGCACTCTCTTCCTACCTCTATTTCAGAGAGTGGCTGGAATGGCAGTAGGTGAAGGATGATGTTATTGAGAAAAGGACTCCCAGAGAAGCCCCACTGCTGCAGAATTTGTTGTGGCTGCTGCCTTTTGGGTTCCTTTAGCAGCTGGAGATAATTAGGGATGTGCCTGGTACAACAGATGATGCTGTGGAGGGTCCAAGACAGTAACGCTTCCTAATGTCCGAGGCCCTTAGGCTGGACCCCCGTTTCATTCCAGCTGGAGCCTGCGCAGGGAGGGACAGAACCAGAGAGCTGGTCTCCTGGCTTTCATCCATTCTGGCTGACCTAGACCTGCCCAGGTCCCAACAAGGAGTTTCCTACCCACCACAGCCACCCCGATCTGTCAACAGGGAGAGGTAAGTATAGACCTATTGTCTTGTTCCCTCTTGAAGCAAACAGCAGGCTTCCTCCAAATGAGCCACTGCTCTGCCCTCGTGTGTCTGCTTCACTGCATTGTGCAGGGGGGTTTACTTGGCCCCCCACTTACTTGCTTCCACTTCAACAGGGCCCCTGCACTGCTCATTGCTAAAGGCCAGCAGATCTTTCAGGCTGGCTGGCCAGTGAGGAAGCTGGCTCAAGGCAGGGCCAGTCACCCTCCACCATACCATCTGCACAAACATCTTTGTTGGAAAATCCCTGCAATGGAAACCAAACAGAACAGATCGGTTCACACAGCACAGCTGACAGAAATATCTTGCTGGGCCAGACTGCTGTCTCTGTTAAGATACCACCCACAGCTGTAAGCACCAGCTGACTCCTTTTGAAAAGAGAGGACTGTTATAAAGACCAGGGCTGGCTTTGGAAGGCCAAGACTGGGTGTGAGAAGGCTGTTGGGGGCTCCGCACTTCAGCTGGGGACACAGGGTAGGAAGGGCATGAACACTAGGTGTCAGCAACTGTCACATCCCTCTCCATTACCCTCTTGGCTCCCTGCTGCAGCTCCCACAAGGTAAGACAAGGCAGATGTACGATTCTGTGCTGCTTCTGGAGCCCCCCAGAAAGTTCTCATTTCCAGACACTGCCCCTAGTCTGTCTCCCTTGTCTTCCTGACAAAGCACCCTGGGCGATCCCTGCAAGCTGGTTTGAGTGTCCTAGCTTAGAGCAGGAGAGAGAAAAGACTTCAAAGTTTAAAATTTTAAACGTCTCAAAGACGACTCGTGAAGGTAGTGGAGCAAGTGAGAAAGGCTTGGAGGACTTCAATGAGAGGCCAGGAGAGCATTCATATAAAACGGACTGTACGTATCTTTTGCTATGTTATTTTTTCACGTGGCAGTCTCCTGATTAAATGTCTACATTCCATTATAAGAATAACCAATTCACTCCTTATTTATAATAGTTCTTATGCTATTTACTCAGCTTTTCTTTTTTTCCCCCACCTCTTTTACTGTCTTCTATGCATCAATAGTGTTTTATTTCTCTTTTCCCTTTATTGCTTTGGCAGTGATAAATTTTTTTTTAGTCTTTACCCTTAAATTTAAAAAAGATGTATTTATTTATATGGCTGCACTGTGTCTTAGCTGCAGTGCACGAACTTCTTAGTCACAGCATGTAGGATCTAGTTCCCCTATCAGGTACTGAACCTGGGAGCATGGGGTCCTAGCCGCTGGACTACCAGGGAAGCCCCTGTCCTTAAATTTTTAACCTGTGTGTATGTGAAAGTTGCTCAGTCGTGTCCAACTTTTTGCGGCCCCAGGGACTATACAGTCCACGGAATTCTCCAGATCAGAATACTGGAGAGGGTAGCCATTCCCTTCTCCAGGGGATCTTAGAAACCCAGGGATTGATCCCAGGTCTCCCACATTGCTGGCAGATTCTTTACCAGCTCAGCCACCAGGGAAGCCCTAAAAAATTTTAACATAAACTTTTAACATAACTGCCTTAAAAATGTCATTCTCCTTCCAAATGAATAAAGACTTTAAAACATTTAATTTTGCCATGTTACTATTACCTAAAGTTGTGCTATTTAAGACAGTAACCACAAGTCACATGTGGATACTTAGGTTTAAACTAAGTAATGTTAAATAAATTCGTTTCCTTGGTTGCATAGCCACATTTTAAGCACTCAGTAGCCACACGTGGCTAATAGCTACCATACTGAACTGAGCAGATATAGAAAACTATCATTGTGGAAGGTACTATTGGACAATGGAGTTATTTCCATCTAGTTTTTACCTCCCTCCAAATTAGTCATTATTAGCAGTATTGCTTTTTAGAGTCAATACTTCTTTAGATTTACCTTTATGTTTACCAGTTTCTTTGCTCACCAATGTTTTTACACCCCATTCCTTACTTCCATATTCAATTTCATTTCTTTCTGAAATGTATCCTTTGGGAGCTGGCTATGGGCAGAACTGTGTCCTTCCAAAATTCATATGTTGAGGCCCTAACCCCCGATTTAACTGTATTTGGAGATAGGGTCCTTAGGAGATAATTATGGTTAGATGAGATCATAAGGGTGAGGCCCTAATCCACTAGGACTGGTTGCATTACTACAAGTGTAAGAGAGCTTTTTCTTTCTCTGCACATGCTCAAAGGAAGGACTATGTGAGGACTATGTGGTTTCATCAGAAACCAAACCCTTCCAGATCTTGATCTGGGACTTCAGCCTCTAGACCTGTTGTTTAAGCCATCCAGCCTATGGTATTTTGTTATGGCAGCCCTAGAGAAAAATACAGAGTCCATTCAACAAAGGTCCAGAGTGTTACTCTGAAAATATTTTACCTCTCTAATAACAGTTTAACAAGGTACAGAATTATAGGTTGTTAGGTTTTTGGTTTTTTTTTTTTTTAACCTTTAAAATATTATTCCATTGCTTCTGGCCTTTGATATTACATTGAGAAATCTATTATCATTCAGAATGTTCCTCTTTTCTTTGGGATTTCTTTGAATAGTTTTCCCATATTTCTGGGTTTCATTACAGTGGGTCTAAGTGAAGGTTTAATATTCCTTGCCTAGGATTCATTGTGATTCTTTAGTTTGAGGATTCTAGTCTTTGATCAATGTTGGAAAATTTTCAACTATTATTTCCTTTGTTTTTCTCCATCTGAAATTCCCACTGGATGTATTTTGAACTTTTTCATTCTATCATTTCTTTCTTTTAATTTCTCTTTAGTTTTCATTTTCCCCACTCTGCTGCATTATGGCAATTTCCTCAGCTCCATCTTCTACTTTGCAAATGTTTCTATTCTGCTTTTGACTAGTCTTAATTTATTCTTTCAATAACTATTTTCCAACTGTAAAAGTTTGATTTGCTCAAATCTACCCTTCCTTCAGGGTCTTGTTGTCTCCTGAATATTTCTTTACCTTTAAAAAAAAATCTGGTTTAAATATATTGATTTCAGAATCAAACTGGGCTTCAGTTGTCTAGATTATAAAATGAGGCTTTAGACTAAATGGCTTCTAAGGTGACTTCCAGTTCTGCAATTCGGATATTCATTTATTTCTAATAAACATCGCTGGCACACTCTGCATTTACATTAATGCAGGCAGCACTGGAACATGGCAGGGAATAAAGGATCATTATTTTAAAAGCCACCCTCCCCAGACCTCTCGGGCTCTGAGCCAACACCTTCCATTTTCTCATATCCCTTCCTGTGTTAGCACAGAGAGAAACAGGTGGTTAACCAGATGAACACAGGCCAGGAAAAATATCCATCTGGGTTTGGTTTCAGACCTGATATATTTCTGGAGGCTTATCAAAGAATCCAGTGAAAGGCTGGGGAAAGAGGTGAACACTAAACCTCTCTGCTTCTCAGAGATTTTGTTTTGAACATTGTAGCACTTAACATATAAAATTAAGAGTGTTAAAGGATTTTCTACACTATTTAAAAAAAAAAAAACAGAATAGTGCAGGGCTGGAAGAAGGATAACAAAGGCTTGTACTAATTTTTATCTAAAGATTTCCACAACTGAGCTAGAAAAATATAGCAAGGTCCTAGAAGTGAACTGTGGGTACGAGCTGGAGAGTGGGGCCTAGAGGAGGTGATCTAAGTGTATCTCTGTAAAGGACAGATGAGTCATCAGTACAACCATTTTTGAAGCTTGTATACCACGGTGCTTCACAAATATATCTTTCAAAACCTGCTCCGCTGTTGTCAAATGTTTAGTGAATAGAGGATAGGAAGAGATTTCAGTCTTTCCAAACCCTGGCCTCTATCAAACTGTAAATGCTATGGACTGCAACTGTAGGTTTTTAGACAAATGGCACGGTACCAATTAAAAGGAACATTCAGCTTACTTCAAAGAGCACTTGCTCTTCCTCCCCCTCATGTCAAGCTGACCACACACATAGTGCTTTTATGATTTATTTTCTTCGCTTACATTTTCAAAATAAACTTGTCTGAGGCATAATTTATACATACTTCACTTTATGGAGATATAGTTTACATATACCTCATTTTAAAATTCAACAAAATATAAATTTCCTTCCTTTTCCATACTGTCTGAGATAAAGTTGTGAAACTAACACTAGCATTGTATTCCTCTCCCAACTACTGGTGTTTTAAGAGACTTGTTTGTCTCTTAAGTTTCTTTTTCTGTGTCCTAACTGCAAAATAATTACTGATTCTTACTAAAGATCATTTACAAACTATATGCTTTTTGTAAGTCCTTGAGGCACTGTCTGTGAGAATGTATTCTATTCCACATGTAGGTAATTTTTATCTCTCTCTCCCCCTCATTCTCAGTTCATCCAAACAGCTTTTAGATCTGTCCATTTTTTACTCTGGAATATGTCTCTCTCATCCTCTTCTTTCTGTCCCTTCTTTGAATATCTTTTCCAGCTCTCTTCTTTTAATCTGATTAAAATAATCCATTTTGCACATCCTCTGTCTACATTAGTCTTCCTGGTGCAAATTTAATACTGTCTCTCTTCTGCTCAAAAGCTATCCATGGCTCCCTCTTGCCTACTAACTGAAGCACATCTCCTTTCCCTGCTGGTCAGTGTCCCCTACAATCAGCCTGGATGCACCTGATTGCTTCCAGTTCTACCCTGCCCCAACCCATCCCACTGACCCTTCATTCCATCTACCTCGGCCTCTCCCAGTCAACGCTGCCTTTACACTTTGCTTAGAATGTCACCGCTGTCACATCTCCCTAGAGGAACTACTGCCCACCTTTTGACCCTCAAATCAAATACTACCCTCTTTCTTTTGCTTCCCCTCATCACTCCTGTGCAAATTTGTATCTGCAGCTTGTACTGCAAGGTGCCTCAAAAACATGCATAAAAATCTGCCTCTTTTAATACACATGGTACCCTGAACCATGCTAGAACACATGTGCCTTTTCTCATGGTTATTTATGTTTGTGCCTTATTTTAGATACTGTATTGTACACGTTTCATCTTACCTTTGTATTCCCCCTAAATATCTTGCACATAATAAAATACCAGTAGTATTATTTACAGTATGAATAAATACCAGCATCTCAAAGCTGAATTCACCTCAAAGCTGAATAAAGACAGGTATTTAAAATTTTTGCAGCTTCAAAATTGTTGAGGGAAACTACGCGACTGCCTTGAGGAGAAGGTCCTCACAAGGAACTGGCAAAGGGCCAGGACCGCCAGGCATGTCTAGAGGTTTTGCCCTAGGAAACATTTCCTGCATATATGGCTTTTACGACTGCATGAGAATAGTGCTGAGGATAACAAGCTTGCCTTGAGGAAAACAGACTGTCTTCTGATCCTGAGAAAATAGAGTCTATGTGTCTCATGAAACTTTGTAAACTTGCTGTTATCAACTTTGTACATGCTCAAGCTCCATCTGTGTAACCTTGGTTTTTGTACAAGCTCCATCTGTGTAACCTTGGTTTTTGTAAGCTATTTCCTTGATTTCATGTATAAAATGATTCGCTATAGAAGTAAAGTTTTGTCAGTCTCCCAGAAAGGCTGTCCATGTCCTTTTTTCAGAGTCTACTCTGCCGAGCTTTCCACACAAAATGATGATGTATGGTTTACTTGAAAGATAGAATAAAAACTGATTATAAATTACATACAATTTATTGTCTCATACATAGCTTACATGCAATTGATTAAATGAATGAATAAGCAAATGTTATAAAACACAGACGCTACTCCAACTTTTTTTAAATTGAAGTATAATTGACTTATAAGGTTGTGTGATGCTGCTCCATTTTAAACTATCCATCATGTCCAGAGAAAGGTCCCTATAAACCTTTGACAGTAAAATGGATAAGCAAAACTATAATATACTAATGTAAAAATACAATATACTGTGTTTTTAATGCAAGTAAAGTATTTTAAAATATAAAACACCTGTTTGCTTAATATTTAAGTAAATTCTATTGAATTTCATGAGTTAGATTTTGTATTTGGATCTTAACATACTCATTTGTTCTTAAATGCTATTTGATAAAGTCATATAGACGGGGGCCAAATCCTACCTCTGTTCTTTACTGGGATCTTTTATGCTGTAGTCTCCTCACCTGTAAAATAAGGATTGAAAATAACCATATCACAGGACTTTCCTGGTGGTCCAGTGGCTAAGACTCCTCGCTCCCAATGCAGGGGGCCTGGGTTCCACCCCTGATCACAGAGCTAGACCCCACATGCAATGAACTAAGAGTTCCTATGCTGCACCTAAAGATTCTGCATGCTGCAACTAAGTTTTGCAACTAAGACCTGGTGCAGACAAATAAGTATTTTTTAAAAACCGTGTAACTAGGTACTGAAAAGATTAAATGAGATTACACAATACTTAGCAGAATGTCTGGCATAAAGTACATGTTCAGTACATGGTTGCTATTATGTCAAACTAAGGCTTGGCTGCAGATTCATGTGCAACTCTTTGCAACCCCATCGACTGTAGACTGCCAGGCTCCTTTGTCCATGGGATTTCCCAGGCAAGAATATTGGAGTAGGTTACCATTTCCTTCTCCAAGGGATTGTCCTGACTCAGGGATTGAACCTGCATCTCTTGTGCCTCCCGTATTGTAGGCGGATTCTATAGGCTATTTCAGGAAATCATTAGCACAGATGTAAGGCTGTGCTGTCTAATATGGTAACCACTAGCCACATGTGGTGATTGAGCACTTAAGATGTAGTTAGTCTGAACCAGGTTGTAGGGAAGTATAAAAATCACAGCAGATTTTAAAAACTCATTATAAATAAAATGCAAAATACCTCGTTAATAGTTTTTAAACATTGATTACATGTTCCCTGATGTCTCAGAGGTGAAGAATCCACCTGCAATGCAGGAGCTACAGGAGACATAGGTTTGATCCCTGGGTTGGGAAGATCCCCTGAAAAAGGGAATGGTAACCTACTCTAGTATTCTTGCCTGGAGAATCCCATGGACAGAGAAGCCTGGTGGGCTACAGTCCATAGGGTCACAAAGAGTTGGACATGTCTGAAGCAATGGAGCACACACATACGTTAAAATGCTATTTTAGATATACTGTGTTAAATAACACATTATCAAACTAATCTCACTTATTTCTTTTTTCTCTTAGTATTCAAAAAATTTTCTCCTTTTTAAAAAGCTTTTATTTAAAGTTGGAGTATAGTTGATTAACAATGTTGTGTTAGTTTCAAGTGTACAGCAAAGTGATTCAGTTATACAAATATAACATGTTTGTTTTTACTTTTTAAAATGGAGGTACTAGAAAATTTTTATATACGTGTGTTCCATTCTATTTCTGTTGGGCAGTGCTGACCTAAAGTCTGGTCAAGAACAAAAATATATAGATGCTCAACTAATATTTGATTGGTTGATTGATATAGCTAAATCTCTTCATCATTTCATTGCATTGGCAGTTAAAAGCATAAAGGACTATTTTTTTAATGCATATAAATCTAGACACGATTTACAGAGTAGGGTGATTAATAGCAAATTTCATATACTATATTCACTCAAGTTTTTTGTAATTTCTCTCTGGAAGTCTTTAAGGAATGAAGTAAAACTCTTCAAATACAGCTTCTGTGAAATCTGTGCAATTAAGAATGGGGATGACCCTTTACTTGTCACTTTTACCTCAAAGTTGAAAAAAACCCCAAAAGAATGATTACTTTTCAGGGACTAAGAAACCTGGCTACTGAAATTAACCTTGGCAAATAACAATGAACCACAAATGTTGGCAGGTCAACTATGCTGTCAAATCTAATGAGCAAATTAGGATCACTGAAGCTCTCTGGCTCCTGGATTTTTCTGCTCTTTGTAGCACATCTAATTTGAAGGACTGCAGGAAGCAAAAGATGGAGCAGAGGCTGTGCAACTCTCCTGTCTTTACAAGACACTCTGGCTAACTCTTAAGGACCTTGTGATCTTCTTCCACAATGTTCTTTAAGCATGAAGTAAATGCCTCTGACGGCTTTCAATACTGGCAGAGCCTGAGCCAAACAATACCTCCTTTAGCCAATTTGCAGCAAAGAAGGTCTCACTCAAAGAAGTGTCTGGACTGGTTCCAGTCAAAATTCAGACCATTCTTTGAACTGGATGCTACTTTTAATTTTGTAGGAAAGAAAACCAAGGTACAGAGTGGTTAAGTTAACCACAGTCACATAGCAGAGCAGCCCAGAAGAAAAATGAGCCTGCTTGTCTTGGTGTTCTTGACCCTGTTGTTGTTGTTTAGACACTAAGTCTCCTCTGACTCTTCTGCAACCCCCACAGACTGTAGCCTGCCAGGCTCCTCTGACATGGATTTCCTAGGCAAGAATACTGAAGTGGGTCGCCATTTCCTTCTCCAGGGGATCTTTCTGACCCAGGGATTGAACCCGCCTCTCCTTCTTGGTAGGCAGATTCTTTACCACTGAGCCCAGGTAAGCCCCCTCTTGACCCTAGACTCCAGCATTGGGAGAAGGTTCTGATAAAGAAGAGAACAGATCTGCTTCATCAGGGAAAGCCTAGACTCCTAGGTTTTTATTTAAGCTGCTCCAACACCTAGAGGTGCAGTTTTTGACCTCCAAAATTTTGTGGTCTTTGAGGTACTGCCAAAAAGCTATAATGGATTCTAGCACTTTCCTGAGTGCCTAAAGTTAGGGTTTTGTGTGTTCCAAATATTTCTTTTATTTGTTTTAAAAGTTGAAGTATAATTGACTTACAACATTAAGTTCAAGGGTACAACACAGTGATCTATTTTATAAATTACAAAATGATCCCCAGGATAAGTCTAGTTACCATTTGTCACCATACAAAGTTATTACAGTATTATTGACTATATTCCCTGTGTTGTTAAAACTAGTTATTAATCATAAGTGTTATTTTAAAAGTTATGCAACTTATAATATTGTTCATTGGTCTGAACAAACATATATGTTATTTAGTATATTTATTATGGGCTTGTTTTGTGCCTATGGGTACCTCTCAATCCTAGAGGACAAGGGAAAATTGCAATCTGTTTTTCACTGGCTTCCTGCATACTTTTGCTCTACAAGGAGACCCCTAGTGTTTCTTCAGCTTAGGAGACTGGTTTAGGTCTACCAAGGCCTAGGGTAGAAAGAAAAAAGATGCAGAGAGAAAACAAGTGAGCAAAAACGGAAACCACAGATGCCGGGCTTCATCAGGTGACACCTGTTTCTTCATTATCGGTAAGTAGAGGAGGGCCACTGGCTCTGCTGGATTCTATATGACATACATACAAATGCCCCTAACTTTTTTTTAAGCAACAACGTGATTAATTGTCCCTTCTGAACAGTTTGGAGAAGCAGAGCATAACGTTTTTTTTTTAAGCAATAATGTGATTGATTGTCCCTTCTGAACAGTTTGGAGAAGCAGAGCATAACGAAGGAAATACACTTTCTCAGCTCAAATATCTCACTCCTTAATGAAAGGAAGATAATACAGACTAAATATCTGAATGTCACTGACAAGGACTTACTGTGGAGCACAGTGAACTCTGTGCTGCTGCTGCTAAGTCGCTTCAGTCGTGTCGGACTCTGTGCGACCCCATAGATGGCAGCCCACTTGACTCCCCCGTCATGGGTCTTCAATATAGTCATAAACTGACAGTTAAGATCAAGTGATAAAGGCATTCTCAAGTTAATAAATAATTATCTCTTACTACATACTTGCAAACAGAATCCTCATCTAGAATTCCTTCCTTTTTTTCCCTTTATAAACAAAAGCAGCTAGCCAGATGACAGCCTTTTTCCTCTGACTAAGGATCTGCCCGCTAGGATGACACAAAAAATATGCTAACTATAAACTGTGTAATAACTAAGAATACACACATACAAATAGATGGCATATACATTTTGCTTGGGCGGATTATATTTAAGTGTACAGTGAGTCCCAGAGACTTTCAAACATAATTTAATAAGTTATTGGTCGAAATTTCAGATATGGTTACCAAATGTCTAGTCCTGTTCATTACTTAAGAGGCTTGAAACAACTTTGTTTCTCCTAATTATCTTTCAATAAACTAAGCTTTTAAAAAAGAACTTGTGACCTTCTAATAAGGGGAGAAAGCCTTTAACTTACCCGCTTGCAAGTAGGACGGTGTAGTAATTACGTCCACAATTTCGTGTAACATATATAAGGCCACCTCGGAGGGCAGCGGGAAGTAGGGGTGAGAGTGGGTAACATCCCGACCATTTTTATCTTATTTTTCCCTCTTCTGCGGCTTGATATTTTTATGAGCTACTTCAGGCCCCGGTATTCAGTTAGCAAACAAGTCACTGAACTACAGAACCTCTCCAAAGATGTTATTCTATTTTCCCCTCAGATTCTCGAAATTCACTCCCCCCAACCACCCGCCCCGGATACCACCAGAGACTGGTTGACTGAAAAATATATCCAGGCACAACTGATTTGAATATATTTTTTAAACGACTTGCCTTTATGTTTTTATCGCCCTGCGTTCTAAACCTCTGTTCTCTGACGTCTAAGCTACTTTCAGTCCAACAGCCGGGCTGAGTTTCTTCACTCTTCAGCAGGTCAGGAAACAACTTGTGGGAAAAAACACGAACGTTTGTAAAAGTACAGGGAAACGGGGGACGACTACAACTCCCAGAATGCAGCTCCGGGGGTTCGCGGGCTCTGCAAGACCTGGTTTCGCGAGTATCCCCTCGTCCAATTGGTCCGCCTTCTCGTCAGTAAGGGCGGAGAGGGGAGGGCGCCGGATGGAACATTTCCCGCCACCGAGAGACGCCGCGCGGAAAACCCGGAAAAGAAGCAGCTCTCGATTGGATGCTCGATGCTGTAGCGTAAGAAAATCAGCCAATCGGAATGTACAGACGCTCCACGATACCCCGCCCCCTCCTCGAGGTTACTTTTCTTGGCGGGAAAAGTTGGGAAGTTTTCGCGCCGGGGTTTGTCAACCGAAGGAACTCCGCGCAGAAATACCCGGGCGGCGAGCATGGCGGGGACCGTGGTGCTGGACGATGTGGAGCTGCGAGAGGCGCAGAGAGACTACCTGGACTTCCTGGACGACGAGGTTAGAGAGGCGCCGAGTCACGAAATTAGGGCGCTCGGAGGCCCAGGGGCCGCGCAGGAGCCTAGGAAGGCCGCGGAGACACTAGGGGCCAAGGGCGACCGCGGGCCTCCAGGCTGCGGCGGCTGGGTGGCTGCTCGGGACCTTCCGCCCCGATCTGGTAGCTTTCCTGGCGACGGAGTGGTTAAGAGCAATCCTGTAATTTTTCTCTCCAGTACAAATGGTGGCTAGGTCTCACGAAAGTCAACAGGTTTTCTCCAAGTGCAAAGCCCACGTTGACCTTTTAGAGATCGTTCCCACTTTTCCCGCTCTCTTAATTTGGGGGGAGAGTGGGGAAAGGACCGCGGGAAATCGGTAGTGACCCGCCCGGTTATAGGGTCCGCAGGCTTTAATGACTGACTTCCTACCCGGAGGAAAAGACTTTCTAATTTGGCCGCATTCTTTTTCCGTACCTGATGGGAAGCGGGGAAAGAGGGTTGGTACGCAAATAAAGGGGATTTTATAGACATCCTGGTGGCTTAGACGGTAAAAGCGTCTGCCTACAATGCGGGAGGCCTGGGTTCGATCCCTGGATTGGGAAGATCCCCTGGAGAAGGAAATGGCAACCCACTCCAGTACTATTGCCTGGAAAATCTCATGGACGGAGGAGCTCGGTAGGCTACAGTCCATGGGGTCCCAAAGAGTGGGACACGACTGAGTGACTTCACTTTCACTTTAGGCAATTTAGGATTGACAGCCATGGAATATTGGTAAAGCATCTTGAAGGATTGATAGTGCTGTCTGTAAATGTAACTAAGGCTCCCAACTCCTAGGTCCCTTATATGAGAACTTTTTTTATATTATACAGATGATAGGGAAGTAAAATATTTTATTTTCATACAAGATTCTGCCACAGAAGTTGCAGATATATTACTGCAACTAAGTTATAGTTACTTTGATATATTAAAAGCCCTTTTAATTTACATTTTGACAAGTTTTTTACTTGTCTTTTTAGACTTCTTATGAGCTTGTTTTAATTCCCCATTAAAAGTTGAGAAGTGACTGCATACAGAAGAGCTGTTGGTGATAATAGGAATAATAACCTTGAGGAAGTTGTTATAATTTATACACTGGCTTTTTAGGGTGTATTTGGAATCCGAAGCTAGTGAGTGAAAATGTGGGTGAAGTGGGGGCTCAGGTCTGCCGCAGGGATGGCTATATTTATCTTGCTGTGAGAGCTGCCTCTCTTTAAAAACATCCAGTTTTTGAATTTGTGAGCTGCTGTAGCATGTGGTGGTTATTTTGCAGGAAGACCAGGGAATTTATCAGAGCAAAGTTCGGGAGCTGATTAGTGATAACCAGTACCGGTTGATTGTCAACGTGAATGACCTGCGTAGGAAAAACGAGAAGAGGGCTAACCGGTGAGTTTCCAAGTCACATCCCTAGTCCTGAGTGAGAATGGCTCCTCTCCCTTCCCCAGGTTGGAGCAAGCTTCCCAGGGGAGGACCTGGATGAAATATGTTTGACCAGGAAGCCCTTAGTACGTCACCCTCACCAGCTTCTATGTTTTTTTACTTCTTCGCAAAGTAGGTGGTGGGCATTTTCCTCTCCTTCCATGTTTAACTGAGTATCATTTCCCCATCACTGAGTTAAAATTGGCCCGCAGCTCTGATGTGTTCTACTGGGCCTAGTAGGATGGCAGGAGAAAGTAGAGTTTAGGTGTTCCCCCCGAAGCTTTGGTCAGGTGAGAATGCCCACTTGTGTTTTGTGGGCCGAGTGTTTGGGTGAGAATGCCCACTTGTGTTTTGTGGGCCGAGTGTTTGAGTTCTGCCGTCTCCGCCTGACGGACTCCTGCAGCCTGCTGAGCAGCGCCTTTGAGGAGCTGGTGGCCTTCCAGCGGGCTCTGAAGGACTTCGTGGCCTCCATTGATGCTGCGTACGCCAAGCAGTATGAGGAGTTCTACATAGGCTTGGAGGGCAGCTTCGGCTCCAAGCACGTCTCTCCTCGGACCCTTACCTCCTGCTTCCTGAGCTGTGTCGTCTGTGTGGAGGGCATTGTTACTAAATGTAAGTGGGCTAAGGCTGGAGACCCGCGGAGTGGAGGTGGGTTAGACTTGGGCGTGTGGAAGGCAGGAGAGGCCGAATAGAGTTGGGGAGCTTATGGCTTCAAAAAGGTAGAGCCCTGGAATTACCGGGTGAAACTTGAAGGAACTCAAGCGTTGCACAGTAACTAGGGGAGCTTTGAGTGGCCACCTGTGCCAGCGGATTGGTGAATCTGCTGAGAATGGAGGAGTCTTGGCTCTTGGCAGTCTCCTCCTTCTGACCCTGAATTCCTCCTTCTGCTTGGTCGGGATCAGCGGTACTTTAAGGTTTTACCTGGATATGGTATTATTCTATGTGTAAATATAAAAATGAATTAACGACAGCTAGTATTGGGATAACCTGACTAGTTGGAAGAACATAATTTGGAGTCGTCATGGACTTGCCTGGGTCAGATCCCCTTTTCACTGCTTAGTTGGGTGACTTTCTATTCCTAGGCTCTCTAGTTCGTCCCAAAGTCGTCCGCAGTGTCCACTACTGTCCTGCTACCAAGAAGACCATAGAGCGACGTTATTCTGATCTCACCACCCTGGTGGCCTTTCCTTCCAGCTCTGTCTATCCCACCAAGGTGAGGGGAATCAATTAGTCAGACCACTTCAGAGGTTGGGTTCAAAGTTGTTTTTTAATGCAAGTAATTAGGTAATATGTAAAGTCTTCCTCTAGATGTGACTAGGGTGAAAAGTAAGGATTCATTTGAAGGAAGATTGCTAGCCATCGTTTAATATGAAAAGGCCACAATTTTTTTTTTTTTAAGGAAAATATTCTCTTAGGAAATTTGGAAAACTAGGGAAGAGTTGAAGGCAGCAAAAAGGTCACTTAATGTACATTTATCTTTTAGCAAAGTTAAAGTATCATGATTTCACAATCTACTTAGTGTAATATATATGGAAAAATACTTAATGCAGTCATGTTACTCTGAAATCTTTGCAAATATTTTACTCTGGGTTTGAGAGAAGGTTGGCGTAGAACATGATTTTAGTCTTGGTGTTCAAATTCATTTGACTTAAGGATGGTGTAAGGCCTTCTTACTGAATGAGACAAAAGAAGATGATTAACATTGATTATTTGATGTCTGAACTGATTCTGTCCCTGCCATCAGATTTTTTTTTTTCCAAGTGATGTTTTTATTGCCAGTACATGCACAACAGTAAGTAAAGAACTATAAATATACAATGTAATTAACAGTAGAAAACAAAATTGATACAGGTGAAGGAGGGGGATATAAAGAAATGATTTTCCTGCTGTTAGAAAAAGGTAAAAGCTAATGCTAATCATCCAATCAGTACTCTTATCTTAAATTCTTAACCTCCATTTCTAGTTTTTCAATTAAATAAGGAATGTACAGATAACTGTAACAGTAGCAAATTGCTTCCCAGTAGCCGTTTCCCTTTCCAGTCAAATTCATTTTATGTTAGAATTGAAAAAAAAAAGTCAAGATGAGAAATCATTAATATCCTGGTTCCAAATTATCTTACTTGCATCTCACGAAAACTGGCAATTTTTAAAAGTTCCTGCCATCCAATGTTAATTTAGAGCGACTGTATCCAAAGGATTGTCAGGCATTGCGGAGAACACAGATCTAAAGAAGACTCAGTCCTTGTCTTCAGTTTTATCACCTGGTGGAGGAATCAACATATAAGCAAGGTTTGCTGCTGCTAAGTCACTTCAGTTGTGTCCGACTCTGTTCGACCCCATAGACGGCAGCCTACCAGGCCCCTTTGTGCCTGTGATTCTCCAGGCAAGAACACTGGAGTGGGTTGCCGTTTCCTTCTCCAACGCATGAAAAGTGAAGTCGCTCAATCGTGTCTGACTCTTCACGACCTCATGGACTGCAGCCTACCAGGCTCCTCCGTCCATGGGATTTTCCATGCAAGAGTACTGGAGTGGGTTGCCATTGCCTTCTCCAAGCAAGGTTTAGTTTCTTAGAATTGTAACTTGAGTTGTACTTGAGAGCCATTTAGCCTATTTCCTGGTGAAACGTGAAGGTCGGAGAGGTGGAATGACTTGCTTATGTTCCAGTAACTGATGGCCCCAAGGACTAGGACCCTGTCTTTTTACTCTCGGGCCACTTGCATTTTCTGAGGCACCCAGCTTTCTTTTTCATTAGGATCCCTACTTTCTAGAATTTATTCTCCTGGAATTATTCAGGGGGTACTCTCCTGATTGCTGTGGCCAAACTTCTTAGCTCAGGACCTGAAATATACCAGACCAGGTGTTCCGGTGACCGTCTAGCATGGTTCTTAAGAGCATGGGCTTTGGTGATCACCGTGGGGAACTTCTTTAACCTCTCCCAGCTTCAGTTTCCTTATTTGTAAAATGTGAAAAAGGCCTGCTTTGGGAACTGAGTTGTGATGATGATCCTATGAGATAATTTTATGAAGTTACACCACAGTGCCTTGCACATAGTAGGCACTCTATAAGTGATAGCTGTTGTGTTTTTAGAAAATTTAAATGGCAAGGAAGTAAAACTTCAAAATGTTTTTTTATTCAAGTTTAATATACAGAACCCTAGAGAAGGTAATGGCAACCTGCTTCAGTATCCTTGCCTGGAGAATCCCGTGGACAGAGGAGTCTGGTGATCTACAGTCCAGGGGGTCGCAAAGAGTCGGACATGACTGAGCACAGTAGACACACACACACACACACACACAATGTACAGAAAAGCTTACATTGAGTGTACAGCTCAGTGAAATTTCACAGGATGAATATACTATAAAATCAACATCCAAATCAGGAAGCAGCACCTTACTAGTGCTCAGAAGTCCCTCCTGAGGCCACTCTGCCCTCAAGATCCTGACATCTACAGCAGTTACAAGTATTCTCTGTTTTTATGTTTAAATGCTTGTCTCTGTCAGGCTTCTTTTGTTCAGTGTATGTCTTTGAGATTCATCCATGTGTATAGGTGCACTCCATACATTCACTGCTGCGTCGTGTTCACTTACGTGGATGTACCACACTTATTTAACCATCCTGTTGATGATGTTTGTATTTTTCCTAGTTTTGGCCTATTACAAGTAGTGCTGCTATGAACATTGTAGTATGTGGCTTTGGGTGAACATTTGTGTTGGGTATTAACCTAGGAGTGGAAAAGCCGATTCCTAGCACAGAAGAATTGAGTATCTTATATGTACGTGTTAATATAACCATGGTCCCTCTGGCTGTAGATCACCCCTTCCATTTGATGGTTCATTACTAGGACAGGATTGTGAAGGACTGGAGAAGATACTTGGGGCATTATGTTCCTAGATACTAATCTTATGAGGGTATCTGAATTATATTTGTTTCCTGTAACAAAATGAATGTGTGGTGTTTCTAAGACAGGGCTGAGGTGACCACTGCTCCGTGTGCCTTTTTCAGGATGAGGAAAACAATCCCCTTGAGACAGAATACGGCCTTTCTGTCTACAAGGACCACCAGACCATCACCATCCAGGAAATGCCGGAGAAGGCTCCCGCCGGCCAGCTTCCCCGCTCCGTGGACGTCATCCTGGATGACGACTTGGTGGACAGAGTGAAGCCCGGTGACCGGGTGCAGGTGGTGGGGACCTACCGCTGCCTTCCAGGAAAGAAGGGAGGCTACACCTCGGGCACCTTCAGGTACCTGGTCCATCCTGAGGTGTCCGGAACGCAGCTGGCAGAGTGCATTCAGGTGGCAATCTTTCTCCAGTTTGCCATCGTCCTGAGAGTTCCATTAGATGGACAGAACACTGCCTGCCTGCAAGATGAACTGTCTTTTGCTAAGAGTGGAAATTACTGGTCTCATGTTAGAGCCTCCTGGCTTGCCTGGGGGTTTCTCGTGTGTTTCCACCTCCCTCCAGGACACTCATTTCTGTAGGTCAGCAGGGGGTAAATTCACAAGGTGAGGCGCCATGAGCAGATTTGTGTCATGCGTGCCAGGTCACTTCAGTCATGTCCAACTGTTTGCAACCCTTTGGACTGTAGCCCACCAGGCTTGTCCATCCATGGGATTCTTCAGGCAAGAATACTGGAGTGGGTTGCCATTTCCTTCTTCGGGGGATCTTCCCAATGCAGGGATTAAACCCACATCTCTTATGTCTCTTGCATTAGCAGGCGGGTTCTTTACCACTAGTGTAGCTGAAGAGAATCAGTGGTTGAATTCAGAACAGCTTTTCTTTTCTTTTTTTCTTCCTTACTCCCTCTTTGTACTCTTCCTCCCCTCTACTTCCTTCCTTTCTTGATTTGCCATCCTAGGTTAGGAGCCTAAGAAGGTTTTGGTGTTAGCAACTGAAAATAGCCTCATGCTTTCCTCTCTGTCCCAGGACTGTCTTGATTGCCTGTAACGTGAAACAGATGAGCAAGGATGTTCAGCCTTCCTTCTCTGCTGAAGACATAGCCAAGATCAAGAAGTTCAGTAAAACCCGCTCCAAGGTCTGGCGTCCTCTGGGGATCTGAGGGTGGAGATAAATTTGTTAGGGTCATATTTGGGCATGGCCATCTTTGTCCTGGATTAGGAGGAAGGTCAAGGTTTTTTCTCTGAAGTATTTGGTGCCAGCTTCTAGTTTTGAGTCAGTAAGCAAAAGGGTGTTTTTCTTTAATATTTCTGTTGTGCTCCCTGTTAAGTGAACCTAATATAAATATTAGAATAGGAGTTAGAATATTAGTGTACAAAGTCTATATGGGATATATCAGTGATACATTGATTGCTATTTAAATTTGAAATATGTTTTTTTGTTTTAGTTCTCTTATTTTTCTTTAAAAAATTTCTCTCTTTAAAGATAGAATGCCCATATTTAGAACTGAACAGAATATGTGCATGTGTGACAAAGGTTACTGCTGAAGCACAGTACACAGTCTTACTAAACCCAAAATGTTTTGGGCCTGGAAACACTTTTTGTTTTCCTTAAAAATTAAAGCTCCAAGCAGGAGTTGGAATCCGGCTTTCTCTGTGTCTATTCTCATAATGCTCTGATCAGTGTGAAAGTCTTAGAGAAGTAGCTTTTACCATTAGAAACAGAATATTTCTTCAAGCATCATCTGTGGCCTGAAGTATGAAGCCAGTTCATCCAGCCCCAGGGCGTTTCCTCAGGCTTTTTACTCCGTGGTTGTCCCTCCTCTAGGATATCTTTGACCAGCTGGCCAGGTCGCTGGCGCCCAGCATCCACGGGCACGACTATGTCAAGAAGGCGATCCTCTGCTTGCTGCTGGGTGGGGTGGAGCGAGACCTCGAGAACGGCAGCCACATCCGTGGGGACATCAATATCCTTCTCATAGGTACGGTGTGGGGACTTGGGTAGCCGCCTGATCTTCCCCTGTGGGGTGTGGTTGCAGGAATCTGGCATCTGTCAATGTGTGTGTCTGTACCTAGCTGTGTTTCAGTTCCTTCAAAGGGCAGAAGTCTAAAGTGAATTTTTAAAGTTATATCTTTATTATTTCTGGGTTTTCTGATTTTTAATGTCTATTCTTCCAGGAATGGTAAAGGGAAATTGAAAAAAAATTACATGAACAACCTGTTACTATATATTTCTGTTGTGTCAAGATCTGTGCTAGAAAAGCAGCACTGGCTGAGGGCGCTGGGGGTGGGGGGGGTTCCGAGAGTCACCGCTGCCCCGTCCCGTTACAGGAGACCCATCGGTCGCCAAGTCCCAGCTGCTGCGATACGTGCTCTGCACAGCACCGCGGGCCATCCCCACCACCGGCCGGGGCTCCTCCGGTGTGGGTCTCACGGCCGCTGTCACCACAGACCAGGAAACAGGTAAGGGTGGAAGGGTCCTTAGCAGAGGTCTGGCAGTGAGGTGCGCATAGATGGTTTGAGCTTGCTCCGGGCCCTGGCTGGTGTTGGGAAGATACACCTGAGAGGTTAGAGCAGGCCTGCCTGGAGGGGACTGGCAACAGTGAGTAAATCATGTAAATGGTTTGGGTGGCTGTCTAGTGACAAGAATGTCTCCTGGAAGGTTGTCAGAGAGAGTTCTGAAGGAAAAAGCTTCTGACATTTGAAGAGAGATAAAAATGAAGATTGTTACTATTTTATACATTAGATAGGGTTTTGAAGGCCAGTGAAAAGAGAACAGAGATCTAGTTGGGAAATGGCTTGAAGATGAGGCTCAAAGAGGAAATCTGTGAAGAAAGGCCGTTGGAGGCTGGCTACTTAGGTATCAAAGTGGGACAAGTAATACTGTCCAGATTGGAGCTTGAACAGATGACCCCAGGGTCTTCTCTGAGTCTTAGAAGCTGACACCTCTTCATTCCACTCTCCCACTCATGTGATGGTGCAAGATGCTTAGAAAGTAGATTGACATCTCCCCCCCGTCCCCCCACAACCTGGATGGTAGTGTGTGTTTTTCCCTCCCCACCTCCCAGGTGAGCGCCGTCTGGAGGCGGGGGCCATGGTCCTGGCTGACCGAGGCGTGGTTTGCATCGATGAGTTTGACAAGATGTCTGACATGGACCGCACGGCCATTCACGAGGTGATGGAGCAGGGCCGAGTCACCATCGCCAAGGCCGGCATCCACGCCCGCCTCAACGCCCGCTGCAGTGTTTTGGCAGCTGCCAACCCCGTCTACGGCAGGGTGAGTGGAGTCAGGCACTCAGCTGTTGTCCTCACCTTCATTTGGTTTTGCCGAGTAACTGGGCTGTGGAGTTTATTCCAGGTGACCCAGACCACAGACTACAGTAAGTTCGTCATCTTGTTACTGCCCTTGGTTTAGGACGGTGGTTCCTCACCCATTCATCCACATCAGAATCCCCTGGGAAGGTACTTAAAACACATTTTTAAAAATACAAGGAAGAAAACCAAAGTGACCTGCAGCGTCACAACCCAGGTAGCTGATATTGACATTGAAATGAGAGTACTGTACGCAGGTGGTGGAAGGGTTTATGAACAGAGCAGAGAGATATAATAAGGAGATTGACAGCCCGCCTTCTCTCTCCTATTCATTTCCCAAGAGAAAACCACTGACAGCTCTTGAGTGCTTCAGGAAACCAAAACTTTAGCGTGTGCCAGTAAATATATTATCTCCTTGTTAAGAATTAATCTACTTGTCTTTGTTTCTTGGTATGACTATGATGTGCTTAGGTGTAATCTTTTATATTTATGCAGCTTGGGGTTTGCTTAGTTTGGGGGGTTGATTTTTTTTTTTTTTTTTAAGCAACAGCCTATTCCATTGTATGGACTTAAGATTTATTTAGCCAGTCTCCACGTGATAGACATTTGGTGTTTTCCCTTTTTCCTGCCTGCTGCTATGACTGAAGCTGCAGTGAATACCCCTTAATGTGCATTATGTTAAACATTCAGGGATGAATACTTGGCAATGGGATTACTGGATTAACAGTTACATGCATTTTTATGGTAGAGATTACCAACTAGCCCCCTTTAAAGACCGTACCACTGTTATACTGTTAACTAATATTTACAGACGCTATACATTTATTATCTCCTTTCATTCACTAACTGTGTGAGGGAGGGAGGTATTATCTTCATTTTACAGATGAGAAAATGAAAGCACAAAAGGTTAAGTACCTGTTGAGTCACAGACTAGAAAATGACAGAGAGGGTTTCAACCCAGAGCCCATGCCGTGCGTGGACAGTTTATGATCCCACAGTGCATGGAAACACCTGTTTTGGTGGCATATTTAAACATACAGGTGCTCAGGCCTCAGCCCAGAGTCTCTGAATCCTAATCTCTGAATTGGGGCTCCTGGGGGCTCTGGTTTAGGAAGTCTCCGTAGGTTGTTTCTAATGGGTTAGTGTGGGTTGAGAACTGTATGATTTTTAGATTAATGGTAACATGTGATACGTCATTCTGAAGGTTTATTTGGAAAATGTAGGGAGAAAATGGCAGGTCCTGAAATGTGAACGCGATCAGGAATGTTACCTGAATGTTACCTGTGAGGTTTTTAGGCCTCTGACTGTGGGGAGCCATCGGCTGGTAGGCCTAGAGTTGAAGGATAAGAGCATAGGCATTCTTGAATCCCAGGAAAACCTCCTTGGGTCCTTAAGGTACTGTGGCTTATAGATTATCACCCATTTTTGTTGAGACTTTACGCAGTACCTTCCAAGTAAAGAGGCCCAAAGTTTCAGGTGTTTCTGGCTTAGCCAGCTTATCTGTCTTCATCACAGGTAGAAAGAGGGACTCATCTTCCAGAGCTGATCTGCCTGGGAGTGAGCACTAGTAAAGCTTGAGAAGGAGGAGGCTGGCTCTGAGACCCACACTCGGCCTGTTAGAGGCACTGGAGCTGAGAAGCTGGGGCTCTGTTCACAGAGCATAGATGAGGAAAGGGCTGCACACAGAGGAGGTGAATTCCGTTTCCTAGTAGCTTTGAAATGCTGTACTTCTTCACAGCTTGTTTGGTTTGTATTCCGAGGGTCTGGCCTTCTGTTCTCACTCCCATGACTGATCTGGCCTCCTTGTTCTTTCTTGTGATCGACGTTATCTCCCCGCTCCTTTTCTCCGTGTTCCCCCCTACAGTATGATCAGTACAAGACCCCCATGGAGAACATCGGGCTGCAGGACTCACTGCTATCCCGATTCGACCTCCTCTTCATCATGCTGGACCAGATGGATCCCGAGCAGGACCGGGAGATCTCAGACCACGTCCTCCGAATGCACCGCTACAGGGCACCCGGAGAGCAGGATGGTGACGGTGAGGCGGGGGGAGAGCCGGACTGATGTGGGGGGCGCCCAGACACAGGCCGCACCCAGGCCCAGCCTGGGGCGGGGGGCGTGGTGGCATCTGGGGTGATGTGAAGGCGCCCTCGCATCCCTGGTTCCTACGGTGTGTCTCTTGTCCATTTTGGGGTCTGGGAGCACCTCAGAGCATCTCCTGTGGACCAAGTGGTTCTGCTTCCTTATTTGTGGGGCCCATGTGTCTGCTTCCTTCTGGATCCTTACTTTGTGAGTCTCACCTGTCTTCAGAAAAAGCGATTTTTCTCTGGGTTCAGCTCTTTCTTACTCCATTCTCCCAACTTGGGCTTCTCAGCTATGCCTCTAGGCAGCGCTGTGGATATCCTGGCCACTGATGATCCCAACTTCAGCCCGGATGACCAGCAGGACACCCAGATCTACGAGAAGCATGACAGCCTTCTGCATGGGGTCAAGAAGAAGAAGTAAGCATTCTCCACACCTCCTCCTGGAGGGAACCTGAGATCTGTGTCACGTTAGAGCTGCCCATGCCAAGGTCATGCTTGGAGTCATCATCGTGGGGATCTGTTTTCTTTTCCGGATTGGCATAATTTTTCATGGTCACTTGCCTTGTGAATGTTTGTGGGTGATCAAACTTAGGTTCTGGTGGTTTCCTAAAACGGAAGGCTTTGACGACCCGCCTAACCGGTGGTGGATGTGTCTTGTTACCCATGTACGTGAAGCGTTGCACAAGTCACATGGCCCTTGGAGCGCATGTTGAAGGGGTTGGTAGATCACAAACACTGGAAAATCTGCAGGCAGATTTGGATAAAGGAGACTTGTGCTCAAGCGCCCAGAGCCTGACAGGTGTGCTCAGTTGCTTAAGTTGTGTCCGACTCCTTGTGACCCCGTGGTCCATGGCCCAGCAGGCTCCTCTGTCCATAAACTTCTCCAGGCAAGAATACTGGAGTGGGTAGCCATGGCATGCCTGTTTGGCCATGGTGCAGTAGGAAACACTGTGTAATCTTGAAACACACTGGTTTAAGAATGTAGAGTTTGGAGTCAGAAAAGGAATTTTGAGTCCACTTAAAATTCTCTGAGCCATATTTCTCCCACCGATAAAGCAGGACAGATAACACCTAAACTACCTACTTCACAAGTAATACTTAAGTAATACTGTAGAATTAAATAAAACCCATGAGAGGGTTTTGGACATGTCCTGTATAACGGGTTTGTGACACTGGGTTCCAGGTCATGTGTGCCCTGTCGCGTGACCCTGGCTTCCCCGAGGAGGGGCAAGGCCAGGACCCCAGGCAGGTGCCCGGGCTGCGGCAGGGGACTGACAGTCACCGTGTGTGTGGGTCCAGGGAGAAGATGGTGAGTGCGGCGTTCATGCGGAAGTACATCCACGTGGCCAAAATCATCAAGCCGGTGCTGACGCAGGAGTCAGCTGCCTACATCGCGGAGGAGTACTCACGCCTGCGCAGTCAGGACAGCATGAGCTCGGACACCGCCAGGGTGAGCCCACCCTCGGGGACGATGACCCGGAGAGTGGGGACCGGAGCCCCTCAGGATGAGGCCGGGGAGGGAGTGCCCGCGCCCCCAGGAGCACGGGAGTCATTTTAGTGCCGTGATTCCTTCCCTTTTCCTCTCTGGCTTGAAGGGCTTCCTGTTACCCCGTTGCTCGTCATCTGGGCCTCAGTGGGTTCTCCCAGCTTTAGAAAGATTGTCGTCGGATAACCCCTCTCATAACCCCCTCCTCCCGACATGTGGGTGTGACTCTGGACAAAGTATTTGAAACTCTTGAGTCCCTCTTCCTCATCTCTAAAGCTGCTCCAGATTATTAATGACTGACACCGAACATAAAAGCGGGGTCCTGGCTTGTGGCGGGCCCTGCGGCAAAGGTTCTTCCCCACTGTCCTCACTCCAGCCGGGAGGCACCTGGTTGTCTTCCCTGTTCAGCTCGTCCCCCCTCCCTCAGCGCTCTCTATCATGTTTCCCTGGTTACTTTTCTTTGGGAATTTTACGTCGTTTTTCTGGCTAGGTGGCTTGGACTTCCCTCCCTGTGCAGGTGGGTTTGACGGGCACGCCGCCGGGTTTCTGGAGGATGGTCCCCCCTGTTCTCTCCCCCCAGACATCTCCAGTGACAGCCCGGACCCTGGAAACCCTGATTCGCTTGGCCACGGCCCACGCCAAGGCCCGCATGAGCAAGACCGTGGACCTGCAGGACGCAGAGGAGGCTGTGGAGCTTGTCCAGTACGCTTACTTCAAGAAGGTGAGCGTCCAGGCGCTGCGCCTGCAGCTCCTCTGAGTGGGTCGTCTGTGCTCGGGCCTCCCAGCCAGGCATGGCTGACCCCAGCATCTGGAACATGGGCAGAGAGCAGCGGCCTTTCCGGTGCCCTCCCTCTCCAGTGGTTGTCAGCCGTGGTGCATGTGAGAACCAGCTGGAAGGCTGTAAAACACTGAAGTCAGAGCCCCTGGAGGCCTCAAAGACTCTGGTTTCATTGATGAGCGGCACCTCAGCTGACGGCTCCTCTGTCTGCTCCTTCTTTGCCTCTTGAAGAAGCGAGTGTTTCCAGAGTCTGGGCCTTCCTCTTGGCAGCTTCTTCAGGTGTCCTTTACACCTGCTGCTCCTCCTGGAAGTCCCCCGTGTCTGCTGCTGTGACACTGTGTGTCTGTCTGGTTACACAGTGGGCCTGGAGGCCTCGACTCCCTTCTCTACCTTGTCCTCCCCACCCACCAGTCGGATGGACTGTAGCCCTTGGCTGTTCAACTGTGGGTCTGATGAGCTTTTTTTGACAATCTCTTTGCTCGCTTGGGAGTTGTCTTAAATACCTAATCTATAAAGAAATGGCTTGTTTTTCCACTTAAGCAATATGGGATAGACTTTTTCTTTCACTTCTGTATTCAGTGGACACTCTTAGAGTGCATGCTGTGAGAAGGGTGTGGCACTCGGCTCCTAGCAGTTTTAAAGATGGGTCACAGCCGACTCCCTGCACCCCCTCCTGGGCTCAGGAATGAGTGAGAGGCCAGGGCATCAGACCCAGGGGCGTCACTGCTGCTGCTGGTGGTCGGGCAGGTGGGGGCTGTTCTTCATTCAGTCCCCGGTATCCATGACCCTCCCACCCACCCGCACGTGGCTTGGTCCTAGGTTCTCGAGAAGGAGAAGAAACGTAAGAAGCGAAATGAGGATGAATCAGAGACGGAAGATGAAGTGGAGAAGAGCCAGGAGGACCAGGAGCAGAAGACGAAGAGGTTGGATGGGGCACAGAGGAAGGAGATGAAAGACTCTGGTTGGGACTGGGGAGGATGTTCGGCGGGGGGTGGGGGGGAGGTCATAGCTGCAGGAAGGGGTGACCAGACCAATGCTGCAGAGGGTTGGAGGGTGGAGGTGACCCAGACAGACAGGGTTACAGCCTCCTTTGTCCTCCGTGTGAGGATTTGGCCCTCTCTTGCTAGAGAAGCTCTGGGGGACTGCTGGGTTCACATTTCAGAAGTCTTTCCTCTGGGTTATCATTTCAGGCCTGAGACTGAATTTCTGAGGGTGGGCGACAGGGAGAGAGCCTTGGGAAGCAGGGCCTGCTTGTGCTCTAGTCCAGGGACCTTTGGTCTCTTTGAGAAAAGGCAGCGGTTTGTACAGGCCCGGGCCCAGCATTCCATTTGGACTGTCGGTGTTTTAGGAGGAGGACCCATCCCTCGGATGCCAAGGAAGGGGACTCCTATGACCCTTATGACTTCACCAACACGGAGGAGGAAATGCCTCAGGGTGAGCGAGCAGCCCCCACTGGTAAAAAGATGGTCTGGGTCTCCTGGCTCTTTAATGCTCTGTGTTATGCATTTGCTTGTGGGTTCCCATTCAGCTCACTGCTTGGGGCCCTGTGTCCAAGAATCCAGGAAACTCAGAGCTTTGGAAATAAGCTTTGAAATCTTGGAGGACTCGTTTCAGTGACTGCGGGTTTTCCATAGTATGAACATGTACATTCTTGTGTTTTCTAATGAGGGATGTCTGACTTTCCTAAGACTGCTGTTTACAGTAAAACGCATTCTTAACACATGTCACTGTAGTGGTGAGGATGGACCTGTGGGGTTAGTTTCTAGGAATAGATTCCCAGAGTCAAAGGAGATGCACCTCAGAATTATAACACATGTGGCTAACTTGCTTCCCAAAGATGTCATCCCAGTTTGCATTTCTGTCAACAGTGTACAGATGCCAGTTTCCCATATCCTCAGTGGCTTCTGGTTTTTAAAATGCTGTTATTTCTCTATGGGCAGGAAGCTCTGTAACCTAATCGCTTAGCTTTGAGGGCGAAGCTCAGGCACGGAACGGCCATCAGGGGCAGTCTGTGGGGTACACTGATGCTCATGGGCTCCGGCATCGTTGTGGCAGCTTCCTCCTCCTTCACCCTCTCTCTCCCATCCTGGGCAGGTTGAAGGCCTTCAAGGCGGCCCTCTTAGAGGTGTTCCGGGAAGCTCACGCACAATCAGTTGGCATGAGTCGCCTCACAGAATCCGTCAACCGAGACAACGAAGAGCCCTTCTCCTCCACGGAGATCCAGGCTGCGCTGAGCAGGATGCAGGACGACAACCAGGTCATGGTCTCCGAGGGCATAGTCTTCCTCATCTGAGGGCCCTCGTCTTTCGACCGTGGGGTCCAGCCAAGAACGTTCCTTCCAGTTTCCTCTTCACCCTCCCTCCAGCCCAGCCTTTGCCTTCATTCCTTGAATGTCAGTGTTGAATTGAACTGAAGTGGAGGGTGGGTGACAAGCAGAGTCAGGACTCGGTAGAAGCCTGAGGACGGGTCAGGAAAACTGCCGTGGGGTCAAGAGAAGGTGGACGGGACCAAGGCAATGCATCTTCACTGCACAAGACTGGACCATCCCCACTGCCGGCCCCAGACAAGCCACACCATTTTTCACTGTAGACAGCACAACTTTGAGTATGTTAGGGGGTCACAGCTTGTTTCTGTTCATCCTTTCTGTGTTTGCTTCTGCCCCCCAGCAGTTTGGTCTAGAACAGACTCTGGTGGTTCTGTGCTGATGGAGAAACTGAGGCAAATCCTCAGGCCTAGAAAGCTTGCTTTGCGGTAGCACCAGTTAAGACTCATGGAGTTTTGACCCAAACATCCAAGACATTTAATAAACACTCATGTTTTATGCTCTCCATGTGACCTAAATACTGTGTGATTTTTTTAGACTCATTTCATTGTATTTTCCTCCAAAGTTCCACCCTGTGGGATGGGCTGCCTGCGTTTGCACCGCATCACCAATAGATGGCAGCAGGCTGCCGTGCTCTTTGGGGGTTAGGCCTTCTCTGGGCTGATTTCTTCCACAAGGACATCAGCATTTATCTGTTAAAACTGCAAACCAAACCTTGCCAATTCAGGATAGCTTAGTGGCCACAGGAGGCCAGTGTGTGAACATCTAGGAGAGTTGACCCTTTGCATGGCTTTTCTGAACAGGAATCAAAGCCCCTTCATGCAAAAATAATACCCAGTATATCAGACCTTCAGAATTGGTGAATTCTTGCCCATTAAGAGATCCCCTTACAGGATCCTTGTGAAACCTCCTAACACCTGGTGTCCAGCCCTTGGGGTCTGTTTGTTTGCACAGAAGTCTTGGAGGGTCCAGGTCAAGACTTCTATCCTCTGTATGGTTTTGGTAGCTTCCGAGGAACTTTTGAGGTTATTTAAAAAAAAAAAAAAAATTGTGAGTCAACGGGAGGCCTGGGTCGCATGGATTTGAGTCTGCTCTGAGAAGAGGTGGTGTGGGTTCCCAGCTGTGAGATCTGGGAGCTGCTTCCTTCCCCTTGTTGCTGAGGGGGCCTGTCACCTTGAGGCCATGAAGCAGTGGTGGGGAGTTCAGTTTTATCTTCATGTTTTTTTCACAGATGTGAAATACCAAGTTCTGTTGGCACAGCCCCAGAGAGTACAGCCCAGGGACTGAGCAGTGATACGAGAGGAGGACTTGGACAGAACTGCACACCGGCAGCAAGTCTCGGACTGTGCTGGATGCAGTTAGAGGACTCGCTCTGGAGGCCTCCAGGCTGGGGATATACATGTCTAATGTGTCAATGAAGAGTTGAAAACCAAAATAACGCACATGAGAGCTGAAGGAACTGACAGGCTAGGAGAGTCAGGAAGAGGTGGGAGCTTCTGATGTGGTGCTGTAGGAAGAAGAGCTAAGGTCTCCTCAGGGGAGCGTTTCTTGGAAGGCCGAATACTTTGTCAGTGGGACTTTAGTCCTCTCTCCTTCACACCTGATGAAATAGGCACGGGGTGGGAGAGTAACTAGGTGAATAAGGTGATCTGGCACCAGCTATAATACCACATTTAGCCATAAGAATGGAAGGTAGAAGACTATCAGTTGTCAAAATAGATGTTACTTGAATTAAATAACCTGACTCGGGTACCCAGTGAATCTCCATGTTGAGTTTCTAAAAACATGTGTGTGTTGTTTCCCAACTTACAGCAACGGAAGAGCATTGCTGAGCATTTAAAGGAAATAATTCTCACTTCTTGCCCAGAGACCCCCTCTTCGGCTACAGGGACCTGAAGGAGGCTGCTGGGCAGAGGGGATCTGGTCTGTGGGTCAGTGTACTCAGGGCATTGCCGTGGCCGCAGAGATGGCAGAGGTGGCCCAAATTTACCAGGGGGGAAAAGCACTTCTTTCCAAAAGAGAAGTTTGTTTCCATTTATGTGTGCCATCTAAAAGAGGTCAAATACTTTGGGGGTCTTTGAGAAATCAATTACATCTTGAAAGATTGTTACCTTATTCCTGAACCCTCGGGAAATAAAGGACATAGTGTGAGAGGAGAGTTGTCAAAACAGAGAGTTGGTCCATGCAGATGGAATCCAGTCCTCTGCCACTTACCAAATAACTTCAAGTGTTGAGCTGCTAATTCATCTGTAAAATGGGGCTAACTTCTGGCTTTGCAGGTGCACCTCTCCTTTGTGAGGTGACTGAGGGCAGCTGTTAGGTGCTAACTGGCGGGGAAATACTCCATGGTTCTGCCCTTATCACTGCAAATTGCAAATTTCACTAAAACAAAGTGAGTCATTTTGGTGTGTGGAAAAGACTCACTATCCTTGGATTGAAATCATTGAAAACGATATCCCCCTGTGGAGTCCCAGAGCTCTGTCCTCTTTCCTGCCTTTCCAGGCTTTCCTTTCTTTTTCTAATTAAAAAATTTTTTTTTGTTTTGATGTGCACCATTTTTTAAATCTTTTGAATTCGTTACAGTATTGCTTCTGTTTTTATGTTTTGGTTTTTTGGCCAGAAGGCATGTGGGATCCTAGCTCCCCGATCCGGGATCAAACCCGCAACCCCTACATTGAAAGGTGAAGTCTTAACCACTGGGCCCCCAGGGAGGTCCTTCCAAGCTTTCCTTGATGGTTCCTGTCCTCCAGTCTGAATAGCTCTGACCCAGGCCCATCTCACAGGGAGGACCCCTGCCTTGGTGTATGACAATGGGCTCTTGGCCATCCCCCAGGGACAAAGCCTGCACAAGGAGGGCAGTGTCATGTCGGGCCTCACAAGAGCCCTGCAAGATGGGGTCAGCAGGACAATGTGGATGAGGAAGGAAAGGAGGGGAAAGACCCTGAAACCAAGAATCCATCCGTCATCCCCTTCTCATTTTCCCTGAATTTTCAACCCACCCATTGTCCTGATGACTCCAGACTTTCTGGGGTGAGGTTTCCCCAGAGGGTGCGGTCAGTGGAATCAGGCAGGTGCTGGGGTCACCTGTGGAGCAGCTCCCTGGCTGCTCCATCCTCATACCAACTAAGCCCTTCCCTCCCCGAGTGTCCCCCTTCCCTCCCCAGGAGCCAGGTGCCACCACTTCTGCTCCACAGGAGGGGAGTTGAGAGGTGGGGCATCGTGCCCTGGTTCTGGATGGGCAGGTAATCTCCCCCAAAAGCCTAAAGTTGGCAGAGGAAGTGAGGACCCCCACCCCCAACACACACACACACACATACTGGGCAGCAGGGGCCCTGAGCGTGAGTTTCTTTCTGGCAGTAAGTGGCTGAGTTCATGTGCCAGGCTGGCTGAGCCACTTGCAGGGAAGTGCTTGGTTTCTTGATCTGGAAGAGGAGGTGGTTGAACTAGGTGATGATCTCTGAGGTCCCTTCCAGTAACACATGAGACACCCAGGTCAGTTCTACCCAGAAGACACGTTAGCCCTGGTACCACTTGGAGGCAGGTCAGAATGAGTCTACTATCCTGTTACTTCACTTTTACTATCCTGTTACTTTCACTACTATCACTTTTTGAGGTTAGTGATATTTGTGCTTCTTGATTTTGTGACTGGAGCTCCAGGATGTTTCCCACTATCTCAGGGAATTGTATTTAATTCCTAGGAAAAAAAAATTTAGAATAAAATTTTTATTTAACTTCACTTTAATTGGTTTTAATAAGTTCTTCTTTTTCTTTTTTTTCCCTGGTCTACTGCCTCGGTGATGAATGCTGGTTTCTGCCTGGTTCTTTACGAACCAGAATGGACTTCTACCTCATTCTCTTCCATTTTCCCTCAAGGGAAAGAGAATTCAAGGGAGAGAATTAAGATTCTAAATTCTTTTTCCTAAACATTTTTACTATTAAAATCCTATGTATTTCCCCACAGTTGGTAGGAGGATATTAACCTCTGCTGAGGTTTGCCTTCTGATAATAGCTCTCCCAGAAGATACTCCCAGCAAGCTAAACCTTCCTACATTTAAGTTCCAATATCTAGCTTTGACATAGAAAGGTCAGCTCCTGCTGCTGTTGTACTAATTTAAGTGGGTCAAGTCCTGAATGAGAGTGATGATAGAACTGGGCATGGCAAAACATTGAATAAAGTTGGAATTTAACTCTGGGCATAGTTCTGTTTTTTAAAAATGATAATTATGACTAATAAAACAATATAGAGTATTGGGGAAAACAGAGAACAAAAATTATCTTACCACTCCAATGTAACTACTATAATTTATTTTTGGTGAATTTATTTATTTATTTGTTTGTTTGTTTGTTTGGTGAACTTTAAAACCAGTTTTAAAGGTGACACTTCACAACATATCCAGTGGTATCGGCAAGTTACAGATCAGGCGTTTGAGACTGACATTCATATACGACAGGAATTTAGGGATTAGGAGTATTTTTAAATATTTATTTATTTACTTATTTATTTGGCTGTGTCAGGTCTTAGCTGTGGTATGAGGGATCATCATTATGTCAGGCGGGATCTCTTGTTGCTCCTAGGCACGTGGGTTCTTAGTTCTCTGACCAGGGATCAGACCTGTGTCCACTGCATTGTAAGATGGGTTCTTATCCACTGGACCACCAGGGAAGTCCTGGATTAGGAGTATTTTTGAAACATTGAATTAAACTCAGATTTCTGAAAATCTTACTACAGAAGAAGTGCAAAAGTTCACCTGTCATATTTTTCACTCTGATGGATGATAAAAAAAAAAAAACTAAGCAATTTAAAGTTAACACAGGGATGCTGTCCCAAGTTCCCAAGCAAACTCTGACTCAGAGACAACTTCTTTGAGCAGTAGTGATTGGGGAAGGTATGAAAGAGTTGGCTCCCATTAATAACTATCATGGTTAAGGGCTTACCATAGACTAGGCATCAGATAGTTTATCTTGATAAACCTTCCCTGTAATTCTATGAAGTAGGTTCTGTGATCCCAATTTTGTAGAGGAGGGAATAGGCTTAGAGAAATTACGTAGTTTCCCAGGGTCTCATGGCTAGTAGATGGTGAATTCTAGATCCAAACCCAGGGCCATCTTAATTTTTTTTTAAAAATTTATTGAAATACAGTTGATTTACAATATTTTGTTAATTTCTGCTGTACAACATTCAGTTATACACATATACATTCCTTTTCATATTCTTTTCCATTATGATTTATTGGATATCATCTCCCCTCCCATTCTCACCTATTTAAAGTTGCCAAATTTACTCTGGTTGGAATTTGAAATTAAGTTTTAAGATCTCATATCATTCACTTTTCATATCATACCTTCAGTAACACTAGCAATTTAGAGTTATGTAAGTGGTAAGTTCTTCCTATCATTACACATAACAAATGTAGAAAAGGCAACTGTCTACCACTTTACAATCTTTGAGAACCAGAGGTGATAAGTTGGTAGAATGAGACATCTTAAGAGCTGTCATTGAAACCATCTGATT